TACCAAAGGTATTCCTTTGGGAACATGTTGTCTTTCCTACCTCTCCACCTGAGTCTGTTCCCTCTCCCAACACATCGTGCTCCACCCCGCGCAGTCACCATTCAGCAGGTGGGCAGACGTGGCCACACGCTGGGCCAGGCAGTGCACTCGAGCTCACTGGCACCAGCCCTAGAAGGTGGCTCTAGTGCCCTGGCTTTAGTCATATCAGGCAACAGACTCCTGATCTCTATGTCAGACCAGGCCTGAGATGATACAAATTTTATGTTAAGTCACCCAGAAAATTCTTTTTAGAAGTCTGCCTGCATCACCTTAGCCCAATTATTGTTTTTACGTTCAACAGCAGCTGCACTCATGGGCTGCCAGCAGGGTCTGAGTGGGTCAGGGGAGGTATTGTTGAATTGGAAGGGAGTTTTCTGTCAATCTAGATTTGAAACAAAACAAAACAAAGGGGGTATCAATTACATTGCAAAGTAGATTTCCTTGGAAAAAAGAACAGAAGCTTTAGGTCTGCTGGGTTTTGTTTATAATGGTTCAGCTTTGCTGATCCTGGATGAGACAGCTCTAGCTAAGACTATGAAAGACGGATCCCAACAAAATGATAAAATTCGAAAGTAGCCTCTATCCCCAACCAAGTTTAGGGCCCTATAAAGAGAAGCACAGGCACAGAAAACTCTGTATCCTGCTCCAGAGTCTAAACTCAACGATCACTATCAGAGTGGCATCATCAGTGGATATAGTATGAACATTTGTCCTTTTGGCAATCAATCCAAGTAGGCCATCCAAATTATGCAAATAGCAGAGTCTCAAAATCATTCGTTCCTTTGTCTGGACACAGACACAGGGTGGCCCACGCCCAAATACTAAGGAACCATTTCCTCCACTATAAGAGTGGTCAGACTGGGCCAATCCAGGCACACAGTTTGATCTCTAAGTAGCAGTTCACAGAAGGTAGATTGTATCTGTGGATGTAAACCTCAAAAAGTTGATGAAAATACACTAACAACCTAAGAGCTATTATATCAGTATGGTAGAATACGGGTAGTTTTGTTCTTTTAATAAATTGCTTGAGTCTATTTTTCATTGTAATACCGACACATCTTTTTTAAAGAAGATCATTTTAAAAGATTAAAAAAAATTAATCTACAGCTTTCAAAAGATTTAAAAAGGCCGGATTACTATATCTCAAACACTTCTTGCATTCCTTAGTAATTGCTTATAGAGCCTCAATGTGTATAATTTAAATCACTGACTAAAGAGTTCTAATTTTTAAAAACCACCTGTAGATGACAGCCCCCTTTATCATCTAGATAGCCCTCCCCTCGACCTTTTTCAGTTCCATTAATCTTTCTCCAGGGACACCAGCCAGAACCTTCCATCTGGGGCTACATCCTCAAGTCACAGACATGGCAATTTTATAACGAGGAAAAATATCATGATTGTCAGTACTCATCACTCCCACCACTGTGCCCCCACCCTAAAACAGACCTTATCTTTAATAATTGTCTGTAATTATCCCCAGAGAAATGAGATCCTTGAATCGTAATTGTCGACTCATTAATAGACACATAACTCCCCTTCTCCCTCAGTGGTTACAGAGTCCACAGAGGTTTGTCACTTAATACACGGACACCGAATCTCTCAGAAAATAAAAGCTCCAGGAAGGCAATTTCTCTCTTGTCCACTGCTGTATCCCCAACACCTAGAACAGTACCGCACACACAGTAGGTACTCAATAAATAGTGCTAAATGAGCAAATGGTGAACTTGGCTTTCCATTTCTTTTGGCTCAACAGATAAAAGAGCATTAAGTGCATTTCTTGAAGGATATCCTAGAGAAGTCACCACTGGAAAAGTTTAAACACAAACCTTTTGTTAGGGATAAAGTAAGAAATATTTCTGCACTGGGGAGAAGGCTAAACCAGATGACCTCTAAAGTTCTTCTCGCCTCTTAGAATCTATAACTTAATGAACACCATACCTTAAGAGAGAATGAATCAGCTACATAAAGCCTGATTCGCAGGTAGAGTAAATTACCACGTTCTGTTTAAAATAAAAATAATAGCTGCCCCGGGACTTGGATGCAAAAATACTAATTCATCCAGAATGCAGACACATGGGGGGGGGTGCTCTTGCTAATCATCAGTTACTCTCTGGGACATCAGACATGCTTCAGGGTCTTGTCAAGGCCGAGCCCTAAAATCATCAACGGGGAAATGGAAAGGCTAAGGACAGAGATTAAAACGGAAATAAACAGCATCACGCTAAACTGAAGCTTTTGTTTTGCAGTCAACAACAAATCCACTTAAGAAACATATCTGAATTTAGCCTTGAGTTTCATCATCACCGAATATAACCACTTCATAAGATACAAAATGCTGCGATTGACATGTGAGCATTTTTGCCCATTAAAACGTCCTATTTACCCGGATATGGCACTAAGATGTTCCAATTCAAGAAGGTCTAAAATTGAGGGCAAGTTATTCAGATTAAATTCTTCTTCAATCTGGATGGGAGAGGCTGTTTGTAGGGAAAGAAGACATGCTCCTGTTTTCCTAAACAACTTTTAAAAAATCTACCTCTAAGAGAGTAAATAGGGAAACTCCAGTCACGCAGAAATCAACTTTGGAGTGATTCTTTACTCTCACTAAACTCATCCTTTCTTTTTTTTCAAATCACAGAATGGAAAAGGAGCTTGGAAGGGCAGAGAATTCTAACACTGAGGGTGCAAGGCAGAGCCTGTGTAGCTGGGTTTGGAGACTCTCCCCCACTCACTGGCTTTGTTTGGAAGACATAAATGCAGAGACCACACTTAAGACAGTAACTCAAGGAACAAAGTGAAACAGTTCAACAATTCCCTGGAAATGTGATTACACATTTTCTGCAGTATATTAAAAGACTTTTCAACTTTGTAGTCAATTCCTGATCACCCATACAACTCAGTAAAAAAAAAAAAAGTCTTCTGTTTTTAAATCGCAAGTAATTTAATCATAATTCTAATGACAACAGGGAATATGCAGAAAGAAGTTACCTCCTCTGTACACATATACTTTTTAAAAAATGTTTATTATCTGAAGAGGGAGGTTTTACACAAGAACTCTGTGGGATTAAGCTCACATATGGTTGGCAGACCTGGTGCTGGATGTGATTACGGCCACACAACTAAATCTTAAATCCACGTACTGTTCCTAATTAGCTGATATATATGACCTAACTAATTTATAGAAAATGTGCAGCAAATTATTTCTTCCATCTCCCCGACCCCTCAAGAATGCACCAGCAATAGATGTTGCTGAAAAAGACACATACCCCCACAAAATATTTGCATTCCTAGACGCTTGCCAGTTTATCTAAAGCAGATATTGTTATTTCAGTTCTCTGAATCTGTGTCCTGGTAATAAGTATGGGGAGAGGAGAGGGTTGGGGAGAGGAGAGGGTTGGAGAGAGTAATTTAACCAGATAAAACTTGACCTCAATAGACTTCCATTTCCTCACCAGAAAAATAAGAGGATTAGCCCAGAACTATAAGAATTCCCTCAGTAACAAAAATCTATGACCACTAATTATCAAGAGCGCAATTTGTGTGCAAGAAGAGATCAGAATTCTTAAGAATATGTCATTAAATAGTAGAGTTGAAAATCCCTAAAGCCACAGTTACACTTCGATATGACCCCCGCACATTTTCTGGCCGTCGTGGAAAAGATCTTTGAAAACACCGCGGCAACCAAACCACGAAACCGAATTAGAACACGCAGAGGGACCCCGCGAACTTCCCGCGGGGGCGCGGGGTGCAAAAGGCGCGCGCATCTGGGGAGGAGTCGGGCGGGGAGAGACGGAAGAGCCAGGAGTCTGGGAACAGCCTCGCATTCCTGGGGGTTTAGAGCCTCCAGTAGCCCCGTGAGACTTTCGTCTACTACCACAAAACCTCCCGAGCCGCCACCTGCCGCTGCACAGCTGTGGCAAGGGGACGAAGAGAAAAGGAACAGGAGGCGGTGGCCCGGGAGGGACCTCGCCCGAGGCGTCCCCACAGCCGGCGAGGCCAAAGTGGACTCGGAACAACGACAAAGAAGAGGGGAAAGAGAAAGAGGGCTCCGCCTTTCCCACCCGGCTCGGCTCCTTCCTATAACAAGGAAAGGCCGCCGGCGCCCCTACCCGCCGCCCTCCACGCGGGGATGCGGAGCGGCCGGGGAGCCGCGCCCTCCAAGCCCCGCTGCCTCCGCCGGGGCCCGGCCGCACGCCAGCAGGCGCCCCCGGCCCCGAACCCGGAGCGAGGGGATTGCCCTCCCTTCCCTCCCCTCCCTCCCTCCCGGCCACGGGGCACCAGTTCTCCGCGCACCCCCCTCCCTTCCTCTTCCTCGCGTCCCCGCCTCCTGACCGCCACCCCCGGCCTTCCAGCCGCAGACATTTCAATACTTCCACCCACCCGACAAGGGAGCCTTTGGAAAACTTTGTGTGCCTAGGGCTTTGTCCACATCCTGGGCAGGGCCGGGGGTGCCGAGGGGTGTCCGGGATCTCACAATGCACTGGGGAAGCCACCACGGAAATCCCACCCTTCGACCCGCGTCTGCAGCCGTGTGACACGCAGCGCTCGGCTCCCAGTTCCCGTGCCCTGTCGCCCCTCGGCGCGGCGAGCCCCGAGGAAAGCCCCGCGCCCCTCTCGACTGCCGCGGGGAAAGCTGTGCGCGGGCAGAGGGAGGCAGCTGGAAGCGCCGCGGCTAACAGAACCCTTCTACAGGGAACACAGGGAAGGGTCCTTTTCCTGCCACATCCCCCGAAGAGGGGCGCGGCGAGGCGACACGCCGTGGCATCACGTAGTAACTGAGCCTCCGGGTCCTCGGCCTCCCCCAGCGCGAGACGCGCGCCCAAACCCGTGCGCACGCCGCAGCCAGCAACGCCGGGGCCGGAGCCCCCGCCCGGCTCCCCGCAGTCCCCGCCGGCCCCCGCCCCAAACCGAGCCCCCGGCTGCGGAGGAGCCGCGGCAGGGAAGCGAGGCCCAGCACTCACGGACGGTCTCCCCACGGCCACGGCCATCGCGGCTGCGGCTCCCGCTCCGGCTGCGCCCGGGTGCTCTCCGCCGACTCCGGCCGCCGCCAGCGCTCAGGCTCCGCTCGCCTCCCCCGCGCCTCCCTCGCGGCTGCGCCCTGCTCGCGCCCGGCCCGCGCGCAGCCAGCGGCATCTGCGTGCCCGCCGCCGCCGCCCCTCCCGCTTTATCGGAGCAACATGGCCACCCGCCTGGAAGGGACCATTCGCTTCCCGGGGAAGGGGTGCCCGGCGCGGGCGGAGGGAGGGAGGGAGCGCGGTGGGTGGGGTCCGGGCTGGCTCTGCCGGCCCCCGCCGCAGGGCTCGACCGCCCCGGATTTGGCCGCCGCCCCCGAGCGACCCCCTCCCGCGCCGCGGAGAAGCCCCCAGCCCGAGCGCGGGCTGCCACCCCCGCGCCACCACGTGCCGGAATCCGAGTGAGAGCCCGGGCGCGGAGGTCCCGGCCCCGAGTCCCTCCACGCGCTCGGCGAGGCCGGCAGCAGGGGCGGCTGCCGAGGAGAAGGACGCAGGGACAGCATCTCCCGGGAACTCAGCCCCGAACTGGCGCGCCCCGCCTGAGGGACGGGCTTGGAAGGGGACGCGGGCCACCGGGGCGGCGACGGCCCCTCCACAAGCCTCCCCTTCAGCTGGGAGAGGCCGAGACGCGCAGCTGGAAGCCGTCCCCGTGGCGGGCGGCGGGTGGGGGACCACACTGGGGAGGAGAAGGGCAGTACTTGGGCCGCGACGACCCGGCGCTGCCGGCCCGCAGGGTAACAAAGCAAAACGCCTCCGCGAAGAATTAAAGCAGCTACTGGCGGCCCCAAAGCGCAGGAACCGAGGCCTGCCCCGGAGTAACCGCAGAGGCCCCCGCGGGGGCCGGCCCGGCGCCAGGCGGGGACCGCGCAGCCGGGAACTCCCGCGTCGCGAGGAAGGACGTTTCCCGGCAAGTCTGGGGTGTCCGCCGCGTGTCGGGGCGAGCGGCGTGGCGGGTCCGGGTGCGTGCCGGGCGGTGCGTCGGGTGCGCGTAGAGCCCCGCGGCTCCTCGGGGCCAGAGAGGGGGACCCGGGACCACGAGGCGATTGAGGATAACGACCGGGTGTGGCGGGATCCAGTAAGATGGAAGCACAGGGAAAGTGGCGAGGGCCGTGATCAGACCACGGGGCGCCCGCGGGGAAAACCCGGCCTATTCACTGAAGTAAAAGACAAACCACCTCTTTAGCCTGGGCGCCCCAGAGTCTGGCCGGAGACTTCGAACTGCCAGGTTTCCGGGGGCCGTGAACCCGTCCTTCCCGCTGTCCGCCTCTGGCGGCCTCGGGATTCGAACCCGGCAGCTGCTGACTCCCAGCGGCGGGACAGCGGGCAGAGTGCGGCGAGGAGAGGCGAGGGGCGCCCGGGAGCCTGCGCACCCTGCGGGCAGACCGCGACCGCGGAGCCCCGGCCCCTTCAGCTCCATCAGCCTCTGCCCCGAGACTGCAAAACCTTCCAGAATAGGGGCCACCATTTTAGGGCGAACACACAGCAGGCCCTCAGCAAGCGCTGCGCTAAGGTCGCAGAGAATGGGCGCTGTGCAAAGGAGGGGGAAGACAGCGATGCTTCTCTTCTGCAGCCCCGGGCTTTCGCCCCTGGGAAAGGTGAGACCACGAAACTGCCCACGGACAAGAGGCCTCGGGGAAGCCTAGAAAAGACGGCTCCACCCTGCACGCGGGATGCAAGGGCGACGGCCGAGAACTCTCCACTCGGTGTTACAGTGACCAGACCTGACTGCAGAACTTATTTTATTTTATTCATTTGTTCATTTACTCAAATTTTTATTATTTTTTTTAATTTATGTTGTCAATGCTTACGCTGTAAACTCAGCTGATTAGAAGAATATGAATTCCCTACCTTGGGGGAATGTTGGTTCATTCTAAAGTCACTTACTCCAACATCTCATTTGAGAAGTGAGGAAGCTGGAGGGGAGACGGTCTGGCGTTGCTTGAGTGTAGGAGCCTTAGAGGGAGCATGGTAGAGTGGGGCAATACGGCTCTTCCGCTACAGATCTCCGCTTGTTAGCTTTGTTACATCAAGCAAGTTAGACTTTCTTCATTCCATTTTTTTCCTATTGTAACAGTGCGGCCTGGCGGAGGACGTATTCTGTTCTCCAGATCCACTCTCCATCCTGCTCTCTGCCCCTCGGAGTCAGAACTCAGTGGCCTTTCTTTTCCTCTGGCTTCCAGTTGAGTTCAGGCAATGGGGAGCAGCAGCAGAACCAGAGGGAGGAGAGTATTCATGCCCCCAGGCTCCCTCCATCTGGTACGGGGCAGGCTGGCTGCATCCTCAACCAAAGGCCAGTTACTTCCCTAGGGCGACCCTGAGTAAGTCCGCCATGGTTTCCCCACATTTTGCCCACACCTTTGTAAATAGTCTTTTTTACTAAATTGTATTCAAGTTATCCAGTAGGAATGTACCGTCTGATTTCTGCTGGGACCTTAGCAGTCCTTCACAGAATTGTTTTCAGAATTAACTGAGAACACTTAGTTATATTATTATTAGACTGATCTATAGTTTATTGTCCAAACTTTGAAACTTATGAGATTGAAAAAGGGGGTTGGTGCTGTTAATAACCACACTGAGACAATAGGAAAAACCCAGGACTTCTGATTACCTGTTCCATGGTGAACAGGTCTTTGCAGACCTACTGCTAAAGGGAGCTGAGAGGCTGAAGAAAGGTGGCAAATCCAGTTTCTCAGAAAGAAACATTTAATAGGGACTTAGAATTGGAAGCCATATCGTGGGTGGCCAACCTCATACCCTTACACCCCAGACCCAGGGCTTGTGTACCACAGGGAAAGGGCATACATGCTTGAGAAGGAATTTGCCTAAGGGCAGGATTTGCAGTAAACAGTAGGTAAAGTAGTAAATCTGAGAGGCATTCCCAGAACTAGGGTTAATCAGAAGTCAACATGGCAGATTAGCATCCAAAATGGAGTGGCTTTAGCCTCCGTATCACTCTAGCAATTATTGCAAGTAAACTATGCTTTAGACATGTCAAGCAGTTAAGAAGTGGTCCTGCTAACACATATCTCTCACTGGACTATGAATTTCTCAAGGCAAGCATGCCTGTTTGTCTTTCAGCTTCTAGCACATGGTCTGCTATATTCAATAAATGTTGAGTTGCATTGGAATGGGGATGAAGGTAAGGGCTAGGAAATGAAGAACCTTTACTGCCGTGCTAAGGATTTAGAACTTGATCCTGTAGGCAATGAAAAGCCAAAGAGGTCTTTAAGCATAGGAGTGACACCAAATTTGCACTTTGGAAAAGAGCTATAGTGAATATTTGACATTATTAGTAATGTAGGATCTATTCCTCTTTTTTTTTTTTTTTGAGACAGAGTCTCACTGTGTTGCCTGGGCTAGAGTGCCGTGGCGTCATCCTAGCTCACAGCAACCTCAAGCTCCCGGGCTCAAGCGATCCTCCTGCCTCAGCCTCCCGAGTAGCTGGGACTACAGGCATGCGCCACCATGCCTGGCTAATTTTTTCTATATATTTTTAGTTGTCCAATTAATGTCTTTCTAATTTTAGTAGAGACGGGGTCTCGCTCTTGCTCAGGCTGGTTTCAAACTCCTGAGCTCAAACAATCAGCCCGCCTCGGCCTCCCAGAGAGCTAGGATTACAGGCGTGAGCCACCGCGCCCCGCCTATTCCTCTTTTTAATGGAATCCCAGTTTATTTGGAGAGATTTTCCAATGACTGTTCCAGCTTGGTAGAAAGTAAATGCCTCTTACAAAAGAGGTTCCTGAAGATATTTTCCACCAAATCCTTCCTTTCATCACCATAGTACACCCAAAAAGCATGTGATCTAAGCTTGGACAGTCAGATACTGTTAAATTTGAATCTTGAGTCAAGTGACACAAAGACAGTACACAGAGTTTATGAAGTCTGTAATTTTTTATTTTTTAGCTTAAGTTATCTACGATTTGTTTCTGTGGCTCGCAGTCAGAGAACCCTATCGAACACATAAAAAATCACTCTGACTACAGTTAAAATGATGAATTAGGAAGGGGTACAACAAGAAACAGGGAATAAGTTAGAAGCTGTCACCACTTTCATTTTGGACAATATTAACTGACAATAGGTCCTGAACCATTCCTGCAACACAGTATGTAAAAATGTCCAGTTGAACATTTCAAAACAGATCCAAATTTGAAAGGAAAAAGTAAAACAATCTCTATTTGCAGATAATATGTAAAAAATCTTAAGGAATCCACTAAAAAATCAGAACTAATAAATGAGCTCAGCAAGGTTACAGAATACAAGGTCCACTGAGACTCTGACAGACGTAGATGGGAAAAAAATTGAAATTGCCATTCAAAAACTCATGGACTCCAGTGATTGCCATTCTTTCTGCCATTAAAAAATTTACTCTAGAAATTCGCTAAGCGATGTTAAAGTTATCAATAATTCTCAGACTCTTCTTTGCTCCTACCACATTTGACTATCTTTGAAAATCAGGACAATATTTGCCCCTTTTCAATTTTTTGGCATTTCTTATTTTTCTCTGGCTTCCCAGAGCTGACCGATATTGATTCTATAATCACTTATGCAATATTTTACATGGATAACTTATTTAGGCCTGGAAAGTTTAACTCATTTAAAATAATTGGTTGCTTGTTTACCACACTGGATTTTAGTAGCCTTTTAATCATGATTGTTCTCCCTGTTTTCATTAAAACATTATTCTCATTGAGAGAGGAGACAAAGTAAAACTTGAGTTTTATCTTGTCTTTGTGATCCGATAGCATCATATCATCGGCACCAAGCAGTAGCTTTCATCCTTGTTCACCCTGAGTGGCGAGTACTACTTGAAAATAAAAACAATTTAAAAATTTCCTGGTATTCTCCTTAAAGGCAAAAATTATGTAAGCCTGCAAGGAAATTTCCACCTTTGTAGACTTGTGCAACTCTTTAAAGCGTGCTCTTTTAAAATCTGATCACGGCAAGCAGTGTTCTGTGAAGTGACATGCTCCTGGGAGTATGGCGACTTGGCCTGCTGGCCACTCTCCTTGGCAGGCAGCCCTGGCGCTGGCCATGCCCCTGGCTGGGGCACTGCTCCTCCTCAGATAACTCCTTTCTGCCTCTGGCCACTCATTGCGGCGACAGTTGTTATTCCTTTTCATGAGGCTAGAAAATTTACAGAGTTGGAGTCCCTTTGAATTATAGATACTGAATTAG